TTTTTTCGTCTGACTACATAAACAACACAAGCATGCTCTGATATAACTTCATCTATTGATACTTGACTTAAATTTAACCCAAAAAAATTACCTCAGAAACCAGCTAAGCCCACACACAAGAAATTTGAAATTCCTATCCTCCGCTCGGCTCACACGCACGGTTTTGGTTCTGGTTTTGGTAGCTGTAAAGTTGCGACTGGAGCTGCTGAGATGCGGCTTGGTTGAAGTCGAAAATGGTCACAGCTAGAAGAGGGAAGGGTGTAGGTCAAATGTTCTCACGCGGTGGTCTCCTGGCTTCCTCCCTCAGCTTGCGGACAGAACAGGAAATTTTCTGCTCAGGGATTTCTTTTCTTCTTGCTCTCAGTTACAGCAGGTAACTCCCTCTCCTCTCGGTCGATACTCACGATGCAATGTGGAGTGGAATGCGGCTTGTGGTTGTGGTCTGAGCTGTAGTGGTGCAGAGGAGATGGAAATGGTGCTCGGTTGAGTGTGTATGATGTTTGAGTATTGAATTGGATAAGTTTCTCACTGGCCGAATGAAGAGGTAGCGTATAAGATTGTGAAGTGGTGCTGCGGATTTGAGGCTGGTTGAGTGACGGCAGAGATGGTGTGCTGCAGTGGTGAAGGTTGTGGTTGGCCGGCTGGGTGGTGGAGCTGCGGTTGGCCAAATTGGGTGGCTTGTGATCATGGTGTCCGGGGAAGCTGTTTGGCTGAGCAGGGAATGGTTATGTCCGTGGGTAATTGTGTGACATTGAGGGGTAGATTAGTCCTTTCACTACTTCTCCAATTAGCCACTTAAGTCTTTGGTTTATTCTTAGCCCCAAAATTGTCCCCAAAGTGATTTGAACGTCTAATGAAACGCTAATCATGCAAGACTTTGGTTATCGCCAATATAGGTCCTAAATATGGTTAGGGTACTTGTATTATTTTGATCTAGAATTTATTGATTACAAATTAGCATTAAGCTTCCTTTAACGTTTAACATTCTTGTTTGGTTAATTAAACTTATTAAAATCAAGTTTGACCAATATAAAAAAAAATCTAACATTTTATGTTAATACGAAAAGAAAATTTAATCTAGCTCTACAAGTGTTAACTTAGGTTAGCGAAACCAAGGAGTTCATAACTTAGAAAAATTTATATAAATTTCCACATAAACATGTTTTACGTACTTAATTGCAAACAAGTAAAAGTAGTACTAGAGATTATTAATGAATAAAAGAAGTGTAAAAGACATACGAAATATTATTTATGAGCGAATTGCGCGAAATGTCACTAAACTATTTCAAAGTGCCGGTTTTGGTCACTAAACTTTTTTATTAGCGCGAAATGTCACTGAACTAGTAAATCTGTACCGTTTTGGTCACTCCGTGTATTTGTGCCGTCAGGAGAGACGGAAATCAACTTTTTGAGGGGCAAATTCGTCTGCACAGTCTTTTCCTTGAAACTCTCCACCATAAATCACTCTCAAATGTCAGACAACTCGTAAGTTCAATTAGGAAGTGCAAACCCTTCAACTATTTCAGATTTCTTCTGCAAATATGGAGTAGAAGAGACAATATACGAAGTTGCAATTTGCTGGGAATGTGTTGAAGCTTCATTGGAGGAATGCCTAAGAAAAGAACTCCGACTTGCAATTTGCTGGGAATGTGTTGAAGCTTCATGAGAGGAAAAGGCAAGGAAACAACTCCAACCTGCTCTTGTGGTAGTAAAACCAATTTGAAGACTTCATGGACTGATAGGAACCCGGCAAGGAGATATTTTGAATGTGCTAATGGCAAGGTAAGTGTGTGAAGATATAGGAAATTCGTTAAATTAGGTTAATGTTTAATTGTTTAGACATTTATCGGCTAAAAAGAATTTGGATAATTTTTTTGTAGGTTGATGGCTGTGGTTATTGGAATTGGTATGATGAAGAAATGTGTGAGCGTTCGAAACAAGTCATACCCCGTCTTTTAAGAAGAATAAATAGGGTGGAAACCGAGAATGAAACTTTGCGGCAACAAATTCTCAAGTTGCAAAAGAAAGCTGAGAAAATGGAGGATAAAGTAAAAAATCTGAAGGAGAAGCTTGGAAGAAAGAAACTGAAAAAAATGGTCATTGTTCTTTTTGTTATAGCCTGGACAATTGTTAATGCATCAATGTGAATTTGGGGGCCTAACAAGGGACAGAAGTTTGGAAGGCTGCAAATTGATGGCTACTAGAGTATTGTTGTACTTCAAATCCTAAACCAGTGTTGTCAAATGTTTTAATACACAGCTCGTTTTTGTTGAGATTGTAGTGTTTTTATTACACCTCATTTTGGTTGGTGTTGTTTACACCATGGATGTTTGAAATTGTAATTTATGAATAAAAGACTGAAGTATTAGTTCCAACATATGGGTGGTGCAAAAGAAAAGTAGCTCACAAATGCAGAAAACATAAAGCCAAATACAACAAAAGAGATAATTATCACTATCATTCCAAACAGCTGCTTTACAAAAGAGATAATTGTCACTGTCATTCCAAACAACTGCCAACAAAGTTAGCCATGTTTCACATATAAATAATCTGGAATTGTCCTAGACATGGAATACATCCAAACAAAAGCTATGCAAACAAGTCCTTTAATCTGATCTTCCACTTCTACTTCTACTGCTCCTTGATGTTCCAGCCCATCTACCAATCTTGAATGGAGGCTCTTTGCCCAAGTACTCATAGTTGGTGTTGATCCTTATCTTGTCAATTTCAGACAGCTTTCTCTTTGAATGGAGAGACTGTTTGTTGGCCGCTGTAGTAGACTGGTCGGTATCATTGACAGGCCTAACTCTCCTCACCTGTACACAAGTACAATAAATATTAACAATAGCTATTTACCATAGTAAAATTAAAAATAAAATTAGAAATAAATCCCTTTCACCTACAGGTGTCTTAGTCTTTCTAATCTGCTGCTTTTTCGTACTACTACTGGCAGCTTGTGCATTACGTTCAGCATGTGAACCAGTGTCATTATGGGAAGTAGTTTGCTCTTCAGCTCCATGTGGCTGAGAATTGACACAACTTGAAGAATATCCTTGAACTTCCACATGAGCAAAATCAGGCTCCTGAGAATTAGCTCCATGTGTTGTGCTTGAGCCATTGTTGGTGCCCTTTGACTTTCTAGCATGTTTAGGAGCTGGAGCAGGTTGACTGCAGCCTTCACCTCCATTATTTTCTGGAACACTTTTGCAGGTAGCAGCATTGTGGCCTGCCTGACCACATCTTCTACAGTGCATGATCACATGCTTTTTTAATTTTTGCACATTATTCGTTCCCACATGAACACCACTTCTATTTTCAGAACTACCTTTTCTTCTTGCTTTCTTGGGCCTACCAGGTTGGACACATGCAAGTGGAGGATCTAATATGGGAATATCACTCTGAGGCCATAGAGACTTTCCACTAATTGGATATAGTACATTCTCATATATTTGAAAGAATAGATCTCTACTATAACACTGATCGGCATAGTCATTTGGGTTCCTACCAATTTTTAAAATGGCAGAAATTGCATGGCAGCAGGGGAGCCCACTAATTTGCCACAACCTGCATGTACAGGTTCTGTCTCTTAAGTACACAGCAAATTGTTCCCCCTTAGGTCCCCTAACCTGATATCCCCCCTTCCCATTTGATATTGGCTTCCACTTTCTAGAAAACTTTTCCCTCTCCTCAATCAAAGCCCTTATTGCTGGTCCCACAGGACCACTACATTTTCTCATCCAACATACTCTATTTGATATCCTTTCCATCACGAATTCTCTAATCCACTCAACCATCCCAATCACTGGCATCTCTCTAGCATTTAATATATGAGAATTAAATGTCTCTGATAAATTATTAACCAGCATGTCAGATTTCACGTGAAGTGGAAAAAAAGCCTTACACCAGTGATGAGGTGGTGCAGCTCTCTTGACCCACGCGTGAGCTTGCTGGTCATATGCTCTAAGCTCTTCCAAAGCTGCCTCATAGAACTCCACTGTTGATGCTGCTGCAATGCTCCAGAATTTTTCTTTAAGCACTTCACCAGGGTGCTTTTTCTTGAAATTTCTGTACATATGCTGTACACAATATCTATGGCCAGCTTCTGGTAATAACTCCAGCAGTGCACTATCAAGACCCTATAAAAGAGTTCTAAGTTTAGTCACTTGCAAAAATTATCCTATACAATACATGCTATAAGGATAAAGAACAGTACTCCTAACCTTCTGTTGGTCTGAAATAAAAGTGTATTCACTGCTAGTTGCTGGTATTTCTAGATCACCAATCAGTAAACTCAAAAACCAAAGCCATTGTTCCCGAGCCTCCTTCTCAACAACTGCCCAAGCTAATGGCCACCAACCATTATTTGGATCTGCCCCAATAGCAATCAACAACTGCCCTGGATATGCCCCCTTAGTGTGACAGCCATCAAGAGCAATAAGGGGCCTACATCCCTCTCTAAATCCCTTTTTCATTGGTCCCAAACAGCAGTAAAATCTCATGAATCTGGGATTACTTTCAGGATCAGCTCTTGGTGAATACTTGATGTCTATGGTGGTGTCAGGGTGAGTTTTTTGAAGTTCTGCTGCGTACCTCCCAACATCAATATACTGCTGAGATGCTGACCCTTTGATAGCAGCCTTAGCCATTGCAAGTGCTTTGTAACCTTTGTTTCTTGTGATCTCGCAACTATATTGCTCATCTATACTCTGTAACAATTGCCTAACAGGCATGTTCATGTTGGATCTAACAGACTCTTCAAACTTGTCTGCTACCCAATTGGATGTCATGTTTTTGTTTCTCCAAGCATGGCTGCAATTGGTGTGGATATCGTAAATTGTTTTAACTACAAAGTCTTCAGTACCCAAAGCAGGAACGTGGCTAGCATAAATGTACCACTTACACGGATCTGCACATTTAGCTCTCATTCTTGTTTTGTCACTTGTATACATGTATACAGGTCTTCCACTTATAATTGCATAATTTCTGAGAGCATCTCTGAACTATTTTTTGGTTCCAAATTTTTGCCCAACATGAAAATGGGGATCTGTTCCATCTCTGCTAGCATTGAAACTAGTGTATCTCACAGGAACATCTTCATCTTCTGAATCTGGATCACTATTTAATTCCCCTTCCACAATATCATCCAATAGTGGGTTGTGTTCAGCTTCAGTTTCAGGACCAGCTTCTGTTTCAGCTTCAGTTGCTGCACCTTCTCTATTTTCACATGCTTCAGCTTCAGTTGCTGCCCCAGTTTCTGTTACAGGTTCAGTTGCTGCACCTTCATTTGTTGCACCTTCACCTACTGCACCTCCATTTGATGCACCTTGACCTGCTGCCCCTCCATTTGATGCACCTTCAGTTGCAGCACCATTATTTGATACACCTTCATTTGCTACACCTCCTTTTCTAACTCTTTTTGTAGCACCACAAACGGCCTCCGACGTACGAGATTTTCTCCTATCTCTGTTTCTTCTATTCTTGGAACTGTCATTGTCCCTCCTATTCTGACTTGATGGAGTTGGGTCATTATCAACTTGGCTATGCATTTGTGGCTCGGACTCCTGTGTATTGTTGTTGGCCTGTTCACATCTCCTAGAAGAATTTTGGTATGCATCTTCATCCTCACCAGCATGGTCATGTGTCCACTCTAAAGCTGCAACTGATCTGCTAGCTTGGACTCCTTTTCGTTGTCTATGAGGTATTGCTGCCTGTTGTGTAAGAATTTCACCATCATCCAAGATCTCCTCTATTACCACTGAACTCTTTGTCTGTGATAACTGTTCCAATTCCTTTTTCTTCTGCAACTCATATATTTCCTCAACTGTTAAATGATGACAGTATACTTCCATCAACTTGTACTCATTAACCCAACCACAGAATTGCATAATGTCTTCATCCGTTTGAAGTTCCATCAGTCCATGGTTCAAATCCCCTCTAGGGTCAATGTAATAATATAACATAGTATCGTTGTGCCCACACTTTTCCACCATTTTATTTATTTCATGAATCGACATAAAATCAGCATGGCAAAGATCGAAATAATCAATCTCTCCACCCACATAACTCTTGTATTTCTCTCCCTCAATTTTACCGCCGTGGTGGAGTTTAATCGAAAATGCAGGTCTATCAGGAACTGCAACAACAACGACAAAGGCAAACAACATGATTCTTGTTAATCACCATTTTTTATTGTCATACATGCTGTTCTTCTTATAAAAATACTTAACCCCCATTTGTTAATTAACCCGAATCAGACAACTGCATTTTGAAAAGTTTATTTTTTTCATTAAATTACAAGATAGAGGGTTCTTGTAGGACCCCTTGCAACCCACTTATACGACAAAAAGCGAAGTCAATCGTTCTTATGTCATTTTCTAAACAACTGGATCACTTCAGCAAACCCTAAACCCAATAAAAACTCTCACTAAATACTTCTTTATACTCAAAACACAAACAACACCATTAATCAAGCAAAATGTGTACGGATTGTAATATTTCTTACCGTAAAATGTGTACGGATCAATGAATTCATCCCTTTGCCTTTTCACCCATTTCCCTGCCATCGATGATCGATTCTTCACAGCTAATCTTCGTCTTGTGCCGGTTCTTTGAGTCTTGTCACTGATTACTGTGAGAAGAATGGATCAATTTTGATACTTTTCACTGTCATTGTCCACGTTCCCAAAAATTTTACCAACATTCCAAAGCCCCACAGTTAAACCTTTCACTTACCAGATGAAACTCTTCCCACTAAGGCTGTGCAGACGAATTTGCCCCTCAAAAAGTTGATTTCCGTCTCTCCTGACGGCACAAATACACGGAGTGACCAAAACGGTACATATTTACTAGTTCAGTGACATTTCGCGCTAATAAAAAAGTTTAGTGACCAGAACCGGCACTTTGAAATAGTTTAGTGACATTTCGCGCAATTCGCTCTATTATTTATATATGCATTTTCAGGGTTCTCACATCACTAGTGCGACTGACCCACGGCTAGTGGCGATGCAAAATAAAATGCTCACTAGTGGGACTGACCCACGGCTAGTGGCTATGCAAAATGAAAATGCCCACTAGTGGGACTGACCCACGGCTAGTGGCTAAGTAAATGAAATGTTCACTAGTGGGACTGACCCAACGGCTAGTGGCGATGCCAAATGAAATGCTAGTATGTATGAAAAAACTGTATCAGATTTGTTTGGAAAATTTATCCAAAGATTTGCCCCAGTGATGAATTGGTCAGTGGGATTAAACCCGAGCCTGCCATGATAATCGATCAGTGGGATAACACCCGAGCCTGTCGAGGTCGGCGGGATAAAACCCAGTTCCAACGTGATATAAGCGGTCAGCAGGATAGAACCCAGTTCTGCCGAGGTTGGCGGGATAAAACCCAGTTCCAACGAAAATAAAAGCGGTCAGGGGGATAAAACCCAAGCCTGCCGAGGTCGGAGGGATAAAACCCATGCCCAACGAAAATAAAAGCGGTCAGTGGGATAAAACCCAAGTCTGCAGAGGTCGGAGGGATAAAACCCATGCCCAACGAAAATAAAAGCGGTCAGTGGGATAAAACCCGAGCCTGCCGAGGTCGGAGGGATAAAACCCATGCCCAAAGAAAATAAAAGCGGTCAGTGGGATAAAACCCGAGCCTGCCGTGGTCGGAGGGATAAAATCCATGCCCAACGAAGATAAAAGCGGTCAGTGGGATAAAACCCGAGCCTGCCGGGGTCGGAAGGATAAAACCCATGCCCAACGAAGATAAAAGCGGTCAGTGGGATAAAACCCGAGCCTGCCGAGGTCGGAGGGATAAAATCCATGCCCAACGAAAATAAAAACGGTCAGTGGAATAAAACCCGAGCCTGCCGAGGTCGGAGGGATAAAACCCATGCCCAAAGAAAATAAAAGCGGTCAGTGGGATAAAACCCGAGCCTGCCAAGGTCGGAGGGATAAAACCCATGCCCAACGAAAATAAAAGCGGTCAGTGGGATAAAACCCGAGTCTGCCGGGGTCGGAGGGATAAAACCCATGCCCAACGAAAATAAAAGCGGTCTGTGGGATAAAACCCGAGCCTGCCGAGGTCGGAGGGATAAAACCCATGCCCAACGAAGATAAAAGCGGTCTGTGGGATAAAACCCGAGCCTGCCGAGGTCGGAGGGATAAAACCCGAGCCTGCCATGAGAATTGAAAATAGAAAAGTACGTTGTAGGATGAACTCAATGCTAACGGAGATAGACTGAAAAATAACACACACGTTAGTGAGATAGACTCGATGCTAACGGTGGCAGAACGAAAACGCACACGTTAGTGAGATAGACTCGATGCTAACGGTGGTAGAATAAAAACGTACACGTTTGTGAGATAGACTCGATGCTAACGGTGGTTGAATGAAAACGTACTCGTTAGTGAGATAGACTCGATGCTAACGGTGGTGGAATGAAAACGCACACGTTAGTGAGATAGACTCGATGCTAACGGTGGTTGAAGTGAAAATGCACACGTTAGTGAGATAGACTCGATGCTAACGGTGGTGGAATGAAAACGCACACGTTAGTGAGATAGACTCGATGCTAATGGTGGTTGAAGTGAAAACGCACACGTTAGTGAGATAGACTCGATGCTAACGGTGGTTGAAGTGAAGATGCTAACGGTGGTTGAAGTAAAAACGCACACGTTAGTGAGATAGACTCGATGCTAACGGTGGTGGAATGAAAACGCACTCGTTAGTGAGATAGACTCGATGCTAACGGTGGTTGAAGTGAAAACACACACGTTAGTGAGATAGACTCGATGCTAACGGTGGTTGAATGAAAACGCACTCGTTAGTGAGATAGACTCGATACTAACGGTGGTGGAATGAAAACGCACTCGTTAGTGAGATAGACTCGATACTAACGGTGGTGGAATGAAAACGCACACGTTAGTGAGATAGACTCGATGCTAACGGTGGTTGAATGAAAACGCACACGTTAGTGAGATAGACTCGATGCTAACGGTGGTGGAATGAAAACGCACACGTTAGTGAGATAGACTCGATGCTAACGGTGGTTGAAGTCAATGAATTAAATATGGTTGTCAAGAAAGGAGGTAGAAGGGTGCGCGGCGGACGCTGAGACTTGCCAAATTAGAGATTGATTTCTTCAAGAAATAAGAAGTTAAACCTAATTTTTTGATTTTTCCATTTTCCTTTTCGTTTGGGAGAAACTTTTCAAGAAATATTTTTTTTTGCCCCAGTCTCTACCAATTATTGCGCAACCGATCATTTGATTTGCATTATGGCAGGGTTGCTCCTCCTTAAAACTTTGATTCACCTCTTCTCTGGTCTAAATCCTTCAATTCTTGGGTGATACTCCACAGTCATATAAAAATTGCCCCAATATGTTGTTATTGGACCATTGGACCTTTTTATTTTCTTCCCTTTCTTCGGCATCAGCCTTCCACATCACCAGATGCTTTTTCGTCGATTTCAGCAATAAATACCTGCACAGGGGCTTACCAAAGTATGACATGCACTTAAGTTTCATGAAAAGAATAGCATGATTGATTCGAAAATGTATTATTTGATTTCTTTGGCGAAAACCTCAAATGTATTACAAAAAATTTGCCCCAATGTAGGCCCAATTTGCGAAATCTCATAAACGAAAATTTGCCCCAATATGGGCCTATTTTGCAAAATCCCTCAAATGAAAATTTGCCCCAGTATGGGCTTATTTTTGTGAAAACCTCACAAATAAAAATTTGCCCCACTATGGGCTCATTTTACAAAATCCCTCAAATGAAAATTTGCCCCAGTATGGGCTTATTTTTGTGAAAACCTCACAAATACAAATTTGACCCAATATGGGCTCATTTTACAAAATCCCTCAAATGAAAATTTGCTCCAGTATGAGCTTATTTTTGTGAAAACCTCACAAATACAAATTTGCCCCAATATGGGCTCATTTTACAAAATCCCTCAAATGAAAATTTGCCCCAGTGTGGGCCCATTTAATTGTAAAAAATTTGTTTGGATGACACCCCATTTATTTGAACAATGTAAAAAACTGTGTTTCCTATACAATGTGAAGAAATATAAGCGTCTTGCTTAAACTCATACAAAAAATTTCATGATGAATTTCTCAAAATAGTACCAAATTACGAAAGATTTCTTTCCCACTTTAGGATCAATGCTTAGGGTAATGGGTCACCACTCTTTGTTAGCTCCTCTTTCATGACCAATCAAGTGATCTTATTTCTGACTTTGAGGTAGCTAAGAAAAATGAGAGGTTAGGATCTGTCTTATTTTTGTGCCCAAATTGTATATAATCCATTCAATATCACATCTTAGTGAAAGCAAAGAGTTTGTCACCCTTATTTCTCAAGAAAACTTAGTCAACATACAAGTTTTAAGCTTGCAACGTATGGGCAGAAACGATAGCTAAACATGTGAAAACTGGCCATACCCTTATGATCATAAATGATTGATGGATTCCTTAGAAACATGGTCCTCACTTTAAATTGTCATGACGAATAAGTCAGCGATGGACTTTATGAGCTTGTAATGTGGCTTGAAAGC